GGGATAGGAGAGAGAGAGAGAGAGAGAGGAGACGCGGAGAATCGCGTTTCTAACATACTCGCTAGGCACCCACCCAATGCAACATGCGTTCGGTGTGGAAGAATAATCGCGGAAGCGAGTTCTGGAAGGTCACGAGAACGCGCAAGTAAGGCGCGCCTGTCATGAAAAGCGCCGCGATGCGCACCGGGCGTCAAGGTCGAGACGCCCGGTGCACCAACATATGTGGGTTACGAATAATGCGAAAAATAAATTCTACATATTGAATTGACGATCGCATATTCAATTTACGCATCAGTCGATAAAAAGAAAATGATAAAACATATATGAGAAATATAATGCGGTTACAAAGTAATATGAAATTGAAAATTGTTTCGAAACATTAAAAAGCGTTAAATCGGGAATCTACAAATTGCGTATTTTCTCGTGCAATCACAGAAATCGAAGTTCGTAAAACGGAGTATAATCGTCTAATGCACTTTTTATTTACCACGGCGATGCATCGAAATGCTTTCTGGGGGAAATGGAGGAATGTAGGGAATCGTCGTACTATTAGTCGCAAACGGTCAGCAAACTCTCTTTGATAGCTTCCGGTGTTCTTCATGTTATTGCGTGACGATACCGTAGAATTGATTCGAAACATCTTGTTCGTCGTGTTAACTTAATGCTAAATGACTTTTCAAACTTTATGTGTCACCTAATGCGATACTTGTAGAAATGGTATATGTATGCTTATTTGTATTTTGCCAAGCTTATCCCTCTAAAAAAAGTAAAGTAGTAACTGCTCTATAATAGAAATAAGCAAAGAATAAAAAACACTTGAGTTTTTTTTTAAATAAATGGACATCTGGAACTATCAATTTAAGAAAAATTTGAATCAGAATTTTATTATTGAAGTTAGATTTTCTCTTTCCTAAGTCTTTAAAGTTTATATTTTTATTATTTGAAATTATTCAAATGTGTGCAATGTAATAGTAATTATATTTTAAAAAATTATATTCAAGCATTACAGACGTATGAAAATATGGCTAGACGTTAAAGACATTAAAGGACCAATAGAAATTCTAGCTACGTTAATTCCAGTCGTTAAGTCCAGTAACTCCTAAAACTGGGTCACCCAAAGGGTAGGTATAATTCATCCTCGACCTTCTTGCAGAGATTGGGCTCACCCTCGCCCACATCGACCAGCATAAGACTCGGCGACGAATGTAACCGAGATCGAGATTGCGAGGCTGGCATCACTAATAGCCACTGCGATCTGGGTTATTGCCGATGTCTATCCTTCTTCGCCGCCTACAATGGGACTTATTGTCTGGAATGTAAGTTTATCAAGGGCACTCTAATCTTCTCCAACTACAAGACTACAGGTCCTTTTTTATATACATAGATATCCTTAAAATATCCACCCTCTCGTAAAAGTGACCGAAGTCTTAAAGACTTGCCAAGAGTGAATTTATATCGTAAAAAGCTACAATGTTTTATTACACCGAGTTTTGTATAAATTTCTTTTTAAAAATAAATAAAGGAGATGCTATTTTGTATCATAAAATTTGCTTATCTTTTAATGTTGCAGCAACTCTATTAGGCAACGATTGTCTCGTGAAGGAACAATGCTCTCTCAAAGTGGCGAAGAGCAATTGCCTCGAAGGCGTGTGCCGATGCGAGGAAGGACATTTGCAGTTCCGCAAGCACACTTGTCTGGCACGTAAGTGCATTAATGATTCACGCGTTCGTTAAAGATGATGTAATGTTTCTGTGGAGTTACATAACACGAAATTAATACAAAAATCGATAACTAATTCATATAATTTTATTTATAAAAAATACAATAATACATTTTAAAACATACGCATAATAAATGCTAATATTTTTAAATTTAGGAAATTTTTTATAACATCAATCTATTTGTTAAATTAATTAGCAAAAAGAGCTTGAATTTTGTTTATCATATACTTTCTCTATAATTAAATTAATTGCTATTAGCCTAATAACTTTTCTACAGGTAACAAAGCGCGAAATTAAGATAAGTGAATTTAATTTTAATAACGAAGCAATAATGCGAGTAATGACATCACATTTAATCACTATATTAATACATACCGCAACGGATCGATAGACGCTGTAATAAGTTAGCCGCTTGAGTTTTCCCCTTGAGGTTACCGCTGGAGGCTATCTTCGTGTGACATTAAGACGATCATTAGCGATGTGGAACAACGCATGTCGGTGAAAGGATCGGATGAAAGGATGAATAGCCAGACGAAGCGTAGTTAGAGTATCCCGCGGAGAAAATTCTAATTTATGTCCTCTCTTACTCTTTACAGCTCACCGCACGAGCACTGAGCGATGCGATCTATGCGTACACTGTATGATAGTGTGTCTCTCGGAAATGTATTCCCCGAGGAATACCATGTACGTACTCTTTCGCTCTCGCGTGATTTATCGAGAGTCTGTTTCGATCGCTGACAGCCGCTTATTACGCCGTTTCCGATACCCGGATCTTCGCGACTGTTTACGCTAATAATCAGGCGCTTTATTATCGTCGCGAAAGTACATCTTGAGCACGTAGCTGGAAAATAACAAGGACAGATACATTTGTTTATGGAAGTTTCATATTTGGCATCCGCGAAATGATTGTGCATATTTTTTACTCCAGGCGCGACGGCGAAATTTGACAAACGAATATAAAATTGACTCGCGCAAGTTCGTAAATCGAGAATCAAATCTAATCTGCAGCTGCGAAACTTGGCGAAATATGCTACGAGCACGCCCATTGTCGCCTCTGGGAGCCCAACTCGCACTGCGATTTCCTCATTCCGGATTTATTCGGTCGCTGCCAATGTACCGCGCCGATGCGCCGCGAAGGTGACGTCTGTCGACCTGACAGTCTGGTAAGACCCGAGCCGCTTCCGGAACATCTGTCTATCTCTGAGGAACCCATAATAGAGGACGTCACCGAGAATGAACGCGATAAGGAAACTGTCATCGAAGAACAAAAGCAAGACATTCATGGCGAACCAGATTCAGATACAGGTGCGTGAAAATGGAACATTCGGATTGCCAAGTCTATTATGAACGACGTTAATTTCCGTGCAAATTCTTAGTATATTTTTTTCTATAATGACATAGTTTCATATATTTATATAATACGTGTGTATGATAATTCGAACACCATTAAGTAAAAATACGCACAAATAAGTACAAGTTAATTGTAAAAAGTGTATATCCAAAGAAGTCATTTTTTATCAAATCAAATTCTACAAATTATTTTATTTATTGAGTAAAATTGGAATTATTTATTAATATACTGTTTTGATCGGTCTCAGAAAATTTACTTTTGACATGAAAAAATCTTTGATCTCTCTATTTAGCAAAAAGACCACTTTAGAGCTGTTTCTCGGAAACGCATTTTAAATCTTAGACTCCGTACAAGTACGCAAACTTGTAGGAATGACGAGCAAATACACGTCGTACCTGACTTCTCCATAAGCCACTTAGAACTCCTCTGAAGTAATCCTTTGGATGGGTATGGGAGTTGTATCAAGCTGCATCATCGCTTCCCTAAGTTTCACGCGCCTTTTATCCGGTAATCAGCTTTCCCGTGTGCACACAGACGCAACGGGAATTTTTGAGGCCGAGCGGTTTCGTATTCCGGCCCGAATGCGCTCGAGCGGATTAACGAGATGAGGCGATTCGCATTCTTAATTAGCGCGAACTCATTAGCGAAGCACGAGTGGCATTTCACATCCCTGCGAACGTGATTGCACGAGAAAAACTTCATTATAACTTTCACGCTATTATCGTGGCCGAAAATTTTATACCTTTTATCATTACCTTTGGAAATTTTTTAATAGTCTAAATTAGAAGAGAGAGTGTGAACGCTAAAGAAAGTTTGGAAGAGAGTCTGATGAGAGTCTTGGACTTGGAAAAATTTTATAGTCTAAATTATAAGATTTGTGCAATATTTTAGGCGTTCAATTATCTTGGCTGAAGAACGCAACAATGCTTCTGTCAACGGAAGCACCCAGTCAACTGATACCGGTAAATCTGGTGACCAGGCCATCATTGAACTTAAGACCTGGGACCAACGATCGTCATGGGCCGAACGAGCTTCCTGACGATGATGACGCCATCATTATCGAGGCGGAGATCACCGAGCCCCCGCATGTTACGACAACCTCGACGTCTGGTGAGATTCAACATATACCTAAAAAAAGAAAAAGATATTTTTTATCGAAGAAATTTAACGTTTAAGATCAGGAAGTTAAAGTTTTGCGCTCTTGACTCTCAACTGACGCGGCAGATCTAACTTTGTCGTTCTCCGTTTTTCAGCGCCGATTAAAACGGACCGCCACGAGAGCACAACAATGACGGCCGTCAGTCTTGGGCTGCCGTGCATAGCCGATCTGGAGTGCCGAATGGCCGATCCGATGTCACGTTGCATCGGCGGTGTATGCGACTGCAGTTTCCCGACGAACGGTAGTTGTGGCGCACGTAGGACCGGCTGCGCGCCAGGCACGTTCCAGTGCCGGTCGTCCGGAAGCTGCATCAGCTGGTTCTTCGTCTGCGACGGCCGTGCCGACTGCGCCGATGGCTCCGACGAGGAATGCACCGGCCTCCGTTGTCCGACGCAGGCATTCAGATGCAACGACAGCAATGTCTGCATATCGAGGTCCGGTGTGTGCGATGGCAACCGCGACTGTCCTCGCGGGGAGGACGAGATCGGCTGCAACAATCGGCGAAGTTGGTATCTCCGCGCGTATTTCAATCATTTTAATCAATTTCAGCAAACTCGAAAATTAATATTCAATCTTATATTTATTCGTGATAAACTTAAGTGCAACTTTGCATTTTGTTCAACTGCTGTACAGCTATATGTTAAAACGTTTCTTCACCAGAGTCAGTGATTATTCGCTGGTATAAATATTTACCGTAATGATTATCATAGTTACTTCATTTTCAAGAAAAGAATGTCTTATTTTATACATTGCACACGCCTCTCGCGCTCCACTTGAATTTATATGTGTGATTTCTCGTTTGCACAGAATGTCCCGAGGGTGCGTTCAGATGTAATAACGGTCAGTGCCTACCGGCTTACGAATTCTGCAACGCCGTGGTGTCCTGCAGGGACGGCAGCGACGAGCCCAGGGGAGCGTGCAGGACGCGTAATCGCGGACGAATCTCCGCGAGATTCTGTCCGTTCAAGTGCGATAATGGCAGATGTCGTTCGGACGCGATAACTTGCAGCGGTCGAGACGGATGCGGCGACGGCTCCGACGAAAAGCACTGTAACGTTTGCAGTAAGTACTTTCTGATAAAAAATTCAAATTATGACGTCAATAACATTGTCCGTGCCACAATTGCGCAGGGAATTGTACGTTGTGATTAAATAAAATATTATTTGATCTCGATCTTCCCCGAGGTTTCTGTTCTCTGCAATTACAGTCATTTTTTTGTATCAAGACTGCAATTAAAAAAAAAATGTTCGTAATTTGAGAAAAATTGCACGAGTTAAAGTTAAACAGCTATTAATGGGAACATCTTTGATACAAATATGAGAATTACTTACTTTTCTCGCGTTCTTTTTTTCAAATAGGTAAAATGTTCCTTAGAAACGCAGCTTTTTTTCCGAGATTTTTATTCTCAGCAATTAAAATCTTGTTTACGTTGAAGTCTTCGACGTACAACAAAGAGTAACCGTTCGCGATTCGATGCATCGAGCGGCCGTCGCTTAAATCCGCGCACCTTGCTTCCTAGAATATAACGCGAGACGGAGTCATGCTCGCGTGTAATTAGAGCGGGATGCATCGATTACGTTGCTATCTTCCGCAATAATCTCCGCACGCAGCCGGAAGAATATACTGAGAAATTACATAAATGAATTAGTCATAAACAAGCGCGTACATCCCGAGACGGAAATAATACAAACGCGGCATTCGGAGGCATCGTCCGTGCAGATTATCCTTTTCGCACTATATATTACACAAAGTAAAATGTACAAAAATATAAAAAATGCAACTAACGGCATTTAAAAAGCGCACGTATGTGTGGAAATGCTAGAATTTAGAAAACGGGTATATTTATTAAAAAACTGCGCTAATTTCTCAAATAATTTTCAACTCGTTTTTTCCGGCAAGGCTTATCGAGAGATACGCGCGTGACATTGAAAGCTTTGATGAAGGAAACGTATTCCCTTTCGTTGATTTTGCTCGTGTCTTATCGCTCTCGGTGTGGGCGCGTTGTCCTATATTAATGTTTGCAACGTCAATTATCGCGCCGATGTGTTGCAGGATGCAGCGGAACGGTCTAATCTCGACCGGCCGATCTTTTCGTCGCATCGCATCGTCGGGACAAAAGGAGAGGAAGGAGTAGGAGGACAAACTGCCAACCAACCGACTCGTCGAAGTAAGTGCTCGAGACTCAAATAAGCGGGTACAAAAGTAAGTGTGACCAAAGATCGTTAAGCCGTATCACGGCGACTCCGGCTGCTTTTAACGCTCCGCGATTTCGAGACTGAAAAGACCGTTTTTACTCGGGCTGCGGCTCGACTCCAGAACGAACAGCGAGAAAGAAAAAGAGAAAGAGAGAGAGAGAAAGAGAACCCTCCGTCGCGCCTCCTGCGCGAGCTCTCTCGTTAAGTCGAACCGGGCCAGTGACCGCCGTGGCGAGTCCATGTTCTCGGGAGAAATGATTGCGCTCGTGTAATAATGGGACTTAATCGCGTATAATGATACCGTGAGGCGGCAATAGTTTGCGCCAAGGGATAACTTAGTTGTCTAGCAAATGAAGCGTGTATTCAGGGCTTATCTTCGGACTATTTGGGTCTTAAGCAAGAAGCATCGTGTCTGAAGAGCCCCGGTAAAGAAAATTCATGCTATTATCTGAAATCTAGGTGAAGAGATTTGAATAATATTATTATTATTAGACACGTGCTGATTTGCCTAAAGCGTAAGATAAGCCTTGAATCTATTACCATTGTCGGATATTTCTAACAGATAGACAGATAATTTTGGAGAAGTCGAGTTTAGACGAAAGTTCCGAAGATAGGCTCATGCACTATGTATTTAACACGGAAGGCGCAATATCGCAAATGAGTTATACTTCGAAAGCATATATTGGCACCGATACATTATGCTAATGCAACTGCATCTAAGACTTATCGCAAATTTTATATTTTTCATAACACGGACAAGAATAATACGCGCCTTCCGTTGAATCTCAATTTTGCACATATTTATTAACGTAGATGTCGAGAGTTGCCCGAAGAGGAGAATAAATATTTTGCAAACGTCAGGAATGTACAGATAATATGGAATTATTAAGGTAAGCAATGAATAAATATGTTTGTGCAACATTATGTTTTGTTGCACTGCTGTCAATTAACATTTCGATAACATATTTGATGTGTATCGTTCGGTATATTTAACTTGTAATACATGTCGTACATATTGCGACAAAGTAAAATGTTATTTAATAAATTCTAATAAAATTATAAGATATGTGTTTATTATATCTACTTTTATAGTAAGAAAATATTTCCTTACCTTTGATGCGCTATTTTTATATTTTTCATATTGGAAATAACGAGCACAAAAATGAGCTCTGTATGGCGTTTCAAAGGGATGAATACATTAGTTGTATAACGAATGCTTTTTAACGAATATGTCGCAAGTGCAAATAGCGTAAATCTTGTTAGCGAGTCACTGACGATCCATAATGCAAATTAGACCGTCATTGACCTTTGTAGTCGAATTCGCATTGTCGATTGTCTCGATCATTAACGGCGTCGAATGCATATGAAACCTGTGCATTGTTTCGTAAAGAGTAAAATAACGCAATAAAATTGGCGATAAACAGAAAGAAGAACGGTTTGGAAATGGAAATAAACTATTGAAAAGATAAAAAAGTTCTTAATTACATATATTAATTATAAAGAATAAATTTGTTTTTATATTTTATTCACTTGAAAAGTTCTTTAAAAATACGCCAGATTCGTGTATATTCTGAAATATTAGAAATATTGTTATTCAAATATTTCAATATAGTTATGAAAATTGCGGAGTAATTTTATGCGATGGTGCGGCGAGGATGGAAATGAGAAAGTCCCAATACTTCGTACACCCTTACGCAGCCCAATGCCGGCTGATGTTTCTGCGGCCGATGTCGGTCCCGGGCAATTCCGCGACTGCGTGTCTGGCTTCACCGCTGCTCGTCGATAACTGTCCGCACGATATAACCCGGAGCGAAGCGTGCACGTGCCACAGCATCAGGTACGTATTTCGACCAGTAAGCCGTAACTTGAGAATGCCACAGGGATTCAATAAACTCTTTTACTTTTAAAAACTGCAGTGAAAACAATGTCGTTTTTTTACGAATGCGTACAAAGGTCAAAGAAATGTTTTAAAAACTGCGACATACAAATCAATTATATTGATAAAGAAATTATGCAATTATACGAGTAAAATATTAGAATATGAGAAATATTGTGATAAGAAAGAGAACTGATGAATTTGAAAGTCAACAAAGATATATTTTCTGCGAAATAAACAACAAAGTACAAATGCTAAGTTGCTCTTTTAAGAAAGTTATAAATTTTTGAACAATAACTTTTTACTTTTTAAAATCCTTTTAAATCTTTAAAGAAATTTTTCAGACAAATACCAAAAGAATTGAAAATAAGGATTGTGGTGGAATCAGGTTTGATTAATATTAATGCAGTGTTTGAGAGTTAATCTTATTGCCAAAAGTTAGTATCGTGCGTGCTCAAAGCCACATTCTTCAAAAAAATCAAAGTTAAATCAAGTTAAGGTTTAATTAACTTTTGGCCATAATTGCATTCGTGTCTTTCTTTATCTTGTTCCGACTTTTAATCTCAGATCGTTAGGACGCAGACCGACGTTGCGGACTCATTTTTCATTCAGTTAGCGTCGAAAGTTCACAACGCAGAAATTAACGTAACGCTTATTAATGGCGTGACTGGAGAATTTAATTATGTATTTCGTACGTATATTTTTCTGTAATAACTTTTAATTTTTTAATGCTGAATAATACGATCGAAAATAGTGACATTGGAATTCTATATCAATTCGTTTTATAATTGACGGTCATCGCATCTTAATGATTTCGTGATTTAATTGATATTTATTCCAGATATTTTTTAATTTTCTATAAAATGTGTAGGTAGCTATAAATATATAAATAATATTATAAAAATAGCAAGCAAGCGCAAGTTCTATAATCACAATATAATACCAGTAAATACAATATAATCTGATATAACAATTTTATATATAAAGCAAATCATTATTTTCGTTTTGAAGTAATTTCAGACTTAAGCAATTTTATTTAATAAATTATTTAAGAAGAAATTTTTTTATTTCTAATTAAATATTGAGTAACCTTTATTTTATTTACAATTCAATTATAACTCAATTTCAATCTTTTAATATCAGGATAATCTTAAGTAATTCTAAATTAAAACAATTTTAGTTCTTTAAATCAAATTACAGCACAGTCAACTAATCTCGAATTTATTGATTAACAATTTACTTGTAACAGTGCTTGCAATCTTATTTATAAAATTGAATTAACTGGTATTACTTAAAATCCAGTTGGCGTAATAAGTAACGGACCTTAATAAGAATTCGATATCAGAATCCGAGAAGAACATTGAATAAATAAAAAGTTCATCGACACGTAAAGATATCTGATATATTACATTTTAAAACAAATCTACTGGAAACGATCGAATATTTCGAAATGATTGGAGTAAGGCGAATTGGTTCATCGATTCTTTAAGATATTGAAGCATACCAACACAATTTTGTTTGTTCTACTTTATAAAAATCTCACATTCTTACCTTAAAATTAAATATTTAATTAACTTATAATAAACTTTCTTTAACTTTCGTCAAATTACCTTTTCACGTGTAAGGTATTCTTTTTGTAATTTTTATTTCTAATTGTGAAACTAATTACGAAATTATTAAGTATGATTCACTATCTATCTAGGTAAAACTTGTTATCTTAAATCTTTCCACTGATTAAATGTGCAACTCTGATTTATTTAATCGTATATTATATCATGTATCTTTAAGTGAAACTGTGGAATAAAATCAATATTTTTAATATTAATTTTTATAATTAAATTTCATTAATTGATAAACTTAACTCTGCAGATGAAATATTTCTCCGCTTTTATCGGAGGAAAGCTTAGAGAATGAAAGAAATAAATCAGGTGATATATTTGGAACTTACTTTTGATAGTCAATCAATCAGCTTAACTTTGCAGGTGAGCTATTCTTCCGCAGTTTTTAGAAACTTTGGAAAATAAAACAAAAAACCTTAGAATATAAATTTTCTTGTATTTTTTGACTAATATCTCGAAATTTGATTTAACATCAATATCAGCCGTAGGCAAATAAAATTTTCGAATGGAGAATTTTGCGGAATGGATTTCGAAAGCATTATTGAAAATGCGAGAGAGCGTATCTCGGGCAACAGCGCTACGCCACGCCGCATCGAGTCGACGGGCGCAGACCGGCACGGCGCACGAGTGGAGGTACGCTGGTGGTCGTCGACGACGACGACGACGACAAGGGCGACGACGACGTATGCGCGAATCTTCGTCAGTCGGCGACGGAGTTGCCTGGTTGCAGCGTGGGTGGCACACGCGCGCATCGGCCCGGCCAGACTCGATTCGATTAAACTTCGCCGCAACCCTCACTCGCCGTGAGCGGGGTGAGATCTCGTGCCGAGGCTCGTTATGCTGAAAACATCCCTCCGCTCGTGCGACGGTATCGCGAAACGAAAACCGGAATAAGCAGCATTGCGATTCGCGCGTTTGCACCGTAGCATCCGAGCAGATACGTCGGGATTGCACCACGATTCGAGCCGCCTCCCATCCGTACGTCAACACGCACGTTCAAGAGGTAATTGGAAGGAACCTCGCAAGGTGGTTCCACGTCCATTCATGTGCAGACAGCGAGATATGTGTGCTGATTGTGTTTCGAGATATCATTATCCTTGTGCTAAATCACTGATCTATAATCTTCTAGTTTTGTGTGATTGTTACTTCAAAGGAGCTTATGAGAAATCAACTTTATGTATTACGGTCTAATCTTTTATTTATTTTTTTTAGATCAGCACTTTATTTATTTTTTTTTTTTTATTTTTGGAAATATTGAAATTCTAAACAAGTGTGTCTACAGTCATGAAAATAATTGAGTTTGCACATTTATATATTTATGTCACAAGGGTGATTATTGGGCGCGATATCGGTGTCACGCTATAAATTAAATCAGAAAAGGCATTTCTTAACTAATTGCATACCTAAAGTTTAATTTGTAAAATCTCCAATTTTTAATAATAATAACTCAAAGACTATATTTTTTTATCAAAAAATCTATATTAAATATAAAATATCCACGAAAATATAAAAAAAAATGTAAAATCTTAGCCTTGTATGTACTAAAAAATTACCTTATATTAAAAGAAATTAAATTTTAATTATTTTGTCTTGCATAATTTTAATAGAATGTTTATTTTTGTAGCCTCTTAAGAATAAAATGTACTATAAGCGTATATACTGTATACATGGTTATTTACGTGAGTCTATTTTGTTCTATATTGATTTATTGAAATTCATTCCTCGAACTTATAAAGTAGCTTTGCGTCATGCTTTACAACGCTGCTTTTGTCAGCTGCTGCAGCATGGCCCATCATTCAAAGTCCGATATTCAATTACATGCTTCTTACAATACGAAGAGAGTTTATTTTATCTGGCCTTTCGCTATCCGAATCTATAAAACGTGGCGCGGCGTATCAGAAATGTTATCTCTGTTTCGGAGAACCCAGTGAATCCTTTATGCGTAACCAAACAAAATTGGTTTTGATTCGCGTATCAGTCAATCCGCGTTGGACAGCTATATTGTTTCAAGTGTCGAATCATCTGGCTCACCAAAACATTCGCGCGGTTACGCTTCGTTCAAATTATTTTTGCAGACTTTTCTGTTCTTTCGATAAATATTGCGCAATAATAAAACGCATGCATTGAACGACACTTGTGTGTTACGTGGAAATTTCCGTTTATCGCTGAATTTATATGTTTTACTACGACTACAGGTGTAGTCATAATGTACTTCTTATCTTATACAACTAGAAAATGCGCAATTAAATGATTCATGCAGATGAGATTTGTGATAAAAATAGAAAGACTGTAATACAATCTAAAATATTCTTTTGCTTATTGGAAAAATTAGATGTTGTATAATTTACTTGGTATTAAAAAAAAATTTTAAAGGGGAACATTCTAAAAGCGAAGAGTTTTGAAAAACTGTTGAGAATTGTTGGAACAAAATTTTTGCATTTCGTCGTTAAAAAGAAATATTGCGCAATTTAACTTGAACGAAAGTAATGAAGAATTTTCGCCTTTAGTTATATATTTAGTTATTATCAAAGCGCGAATTACCTCGCATAAAAACCACCGGAAATTAAGTTACGGAGATAATTTGTTATCGAAGATACATCCGTCGGAACAAAATTGGAGCCAACTCGCGACAACTTTGTAGCGCACACGATTACTAGAGTACCAAGAGAAGAACGTACAAGTCTGCCATAACACGACCGGCATTTATCTAATCAGCTTGATGCTGTGCCACTTTAATCCTTAACTGATGAAATGGGAAAAGTTGACACAATTGGCGATAAGGGACCAATCAGATATTCAGTATTTTTTAAGAAGGAGTTACAGCGCATTAATTGTATTATATTTTATAAATTGCTATAATTTGTAAATATTTTTAAAATTTAAATTGATGGAGTAGCAGGAGGAAATCTTATTTATGTAGGTGTTAGTCGAATGTCACCATGTTCTCAACAGTTGAGAAGTGACATTCGACTAACACCTACATAAATAAGATTTTCTCGCAATCGCATACGTGACTTCACTTCCAAAAGAGTTTCAATAACGACGAATTGAATCTACAGTCTTCTAACAAACAGATTTGTAACGGTAGCTATAAAGATGGCTGAATGATTAGCCGAAACGTTTGCTGCTTACGAAATACATTAATTATAATGAAAGATATCAAGACTAGATATCTACAATCTTCTTTGGCTTGAGATCCTCTTGCTACTCCATCGATTTAAATTTTGCGAGCCTAAACTTCAAATTTTTAAAATTATTTATTAATATATAACTCGTTTTATTTAAAAATTACCTCAACCATAAAAAAGAAAGCGCAATTTAAAAAAAATCTAACTGGAATTAAAGAAGAGATATGTATTGGTAGAGAAATAAATTCCCATTTTGCGAGGTAAGACGTTGAAAGCGGCTCACTCTCGATTTCAGGAAGTGACTTGGGGTAGCGAGATAACTGATCTCGCCTCAGCGTCTTCGCAGAGCACGGCGGCCGCTCGATGACCGCCTTCCTTCGTCGAGAGGACGAGGACGCCGAGGACGAGGAGAACGGTGAGTCGCGGAAGGACGAATGTTTACGTCGCGATCGACAATGCCGTACGAGGGAATCGAAACGCAAGAGACGAACAGTTGAGACATCCTCGACGACAGTAAGCCGATCACAAATACAGCGAGGTCGACGCAAACGTGACGGAATTCACGAGATCATGCGGAATCACCTCTGATCTCTTTTGACCCCGAGAAAGGCGCAACATGATGTGGAAGGCGAAATGGTCACGCTTCACCGAGTGCTTCTGCCGACGACCCGGCCTCGTTCTGGTTCTGCTGCCGTGCCTGATCGTCGTCACCCTTTACCTCATACCGTGCGCCGACTACGAGTACGACACGCTGCAGTATCCGTCCTTCAAGTCATACAACGTCGCGGAAGGTAAGAAGCGTTCTCGCATTTCGTTGAGTCGCGATTTAAAGCACTCGACGTACATTTTTGTTATCGCAGGACATTCAAGACGTATAAATTCCTCGACAAAATTTGAGAAACGCACAATAAGAATACGAAAATTTTATAGTTTGCAATTTGATAAAATAATTCGAAAATGCTGAAATAGGTGAAAACCGAGACTCTAATTATTATAATAAATACGAAGTATCGTATATCTGTCTATAATAGAGTATCTCATTTACTTTGACACGTCCACTTTATCACGTTGATAAAGTACGTTGGCTCGTACGTCAATCCGGCCGTGTTATCTCAAAAATTTCAAATCAAATATTTGCAAACATTGCAGATATGACACTTATAGTGTTTAGAGAAAGATTCACATTATGTGTTCACATTATGAGATTATTGCGTTATTTTAAATAGTAAAAACGATATTCATGTTTGCAGATACAGATTGTGAATGCGTTAATATTTCACGTATTTTATAATAACTCGCGCAATACTTTTACATTTAAATTCATTTATTAATATTACGTCCGATTAATAAGGAACGGATTGCAGTAAATTTCTTTTCGAAAACTTTGATATTCTGAAAGTGTCAAATTAACGATTGGTTTCGTGGCATCGATCTTATCTATTTACGACGATGCCGTACAACTTAACATGACAAAACCAATTTAGAAATAGAACTCTAAATATTTCAACAGTTGTACACGAATATCTCGCACAGGTCTCGTGTAAGTTTCTTCGATATATTTAAATATTTAAACGTCAATTTTCGTAATGTTTCTTGTGAAAGATTTTGTTCTTATTATCAACGAACTTCGAAGACATTAAAATTATAGCGGCTTACATTCCGCGACAGGCATGGTGGACGGTTATCTCGTGTGGAATCCGAAGTGTCACATGCTGTCCAAAGAGCCTCTGGATCCGTCCATCGTGAAATTCGTGAGGAAAGAGAAACTGGAGAAGTGTCCGAACAATCTCGTCCTCTCGCACATTTCGGCGGAACCTAACGGCAGTGTGCTTCTCTCCCTCGATCCAGCCGCAACGACCACGCGTAGCGACGTCGCCTGCTGCTGGTCGTCCGTCATCAGGCCGAAGGTGGACAAACCTAAAAAGGACAACTACGACTCTACGATATCGTAAGAGTTGTAATCATTACTCTATCTATTGAAAGTTCAAATGTCATCTTAAAAGAAATTGTCGCACCTTAAAGCGAATCTTATTTAAAGAAAATCTGTATCTTAAATCGCAGATCTAATCAATTATGTTATTTAGTTGCGTCAATTTTTATGATAAACGATGTACTTGAGCAAACAAAATTTAGCTTGGTGAAAAGCAAGAAGTGATTAATTTGCTTATTTATGACGCGGAACAGACTGCATATTAAAAAAATTTTTTTTAAATTTATTTCACTCATACGATTCGAATTTTCTGCAAAACACACTTGGCGATTCTTTCTGCTCAACAGAGTCAAGCAATGTGAAAACTTTACGGGACAAGTGACACTTCCGCGCGAGGTCGAGGTGGTGTACGTGTCGTGCAAGTCGGCGACAAACGCGAAGCCCAAAGCGAAGACGAAGAACGCGAAGTCGTCGACGAAAATAGTATACGAGAACGTTCACGCGATCTTGAATCCGGAAAAGGTGCGCGATCGCGTGGATCACAATAGTAGTCAATACGGAAACTTTTCGAGGAAGCTGAGCGTGCTTGTGCTCGGCATCGACAGCGTCAGCCGACTGAACTTCTACCGCACGATGCCGAAAACTGAGAGGTACCTACGCGAAACCGGCTGGATCGGCCTGAAAGGCTACAACAAGATCGGCGACAATACGTTTCCGAATCTGATGGCAATTCTGACCGGTCAGATGCCGCAGCAGGCATACGCGCGGTGCAAGCCGACGGTGGCCTACAAGCTCGACAACTGTCCCTTCCTCTGGTACAACTTCCGCAACGCTGGCTACGTCACGGCCTACGGTGAAGACGAGACCATACTTAACACGTTCAACTACCTCAAGGTCGGCTTCGTCGAGCCGCCCACCGATTACTACCTGAGACCATACATGCTGGCGAGCGAGAAGCTGCTCAAGGTCAAAAAAAGGTAAAGCGATTTTAATTTACATTACTGTTTAAAGCAATAACGAGAAAAGAAATATATAATCCAATCTGTAACAAGATATTGAGATCGCAAATTTGAAAAAATCAGCTTCATGCAAATTAGCGTTTTGTTAAGCAATGTATTTTATGAATAATAAGCGTTGATTTTGAAAAAAATTTCTACTCGCAGATTTAACATGAAATATTGCACCGGCCCTGAGCTGAGCTTCGAGCGGATCTTCGACTACGCCGTGAATTTCGCCCGCACCTTTCTCGGCGTGCCGTACTTCGGCTTCTTCTGGACGAACACTATCAGCCACGACAACATGAACGGCATCTCGTCGATGGACGCTAACATGTTGAAAAGGTTCGAATTCCTAGAACAGGAGGGGGTGTTGAATGATTCGATGATCGTCTTCCTGAGCGACCACGGTATGCGGTGGGGCGATTTTCGCAACACCTTCGTCGGCTGGTACGAAGAGAGACTGCCGTATATCTACATCTGGCTGCCCGAGTGGTTCCGTCGGGAGAATCCCGAGGCCCATCGCGCCCTCGCCGTGAACCAGAATCGACTCACGTCGCCGTTCGACCTCTACGAGACCCTGCGGGACGTCCTCGCCGGCGGCGGCGGCGACGCCGATCCCAGTCCTGGATGTTCCACCTGTCAGTCCCTGTTCGCGCCTGTCTCGAGAGAGAGAGGCTGCCAGGACGCGGGGGTGGCTTATCACTGGTGCACCTGCACGGCCTTCAAGTCGATTGACGTGAAGGAGAAAATCGCCACCGGCGGCGTGCGCAAGTTCCTAGACCACATAGAGAGTATCGTGAAAAGTTACAAGGACAAGAAGGGCCGGCGGCTGTGCGCGCGGCTCAAGCTGAAGAAGGTGCACCGGGTGGACCAAGTGATCGACTTCGGCATGGAAGGCGCGTCCAGCCTCACGTACTTCTACTTGATTCAAACGACGCCCGGCACCGGCAAGTTCGAGGTCACCATCAGGTACCACGGCGACGGCAATTACACCCTGTCCGACAGCGAGGTCAGCAGAATCAACCCGTACGCCACGAGCGCCAAGTGTCTGAATCGCGGCATGAAGCAGTATTGTCATTGCATGAAATAGACGCACCGCGAACTCGGATTGTCGAAACTTTGTACTTCATTAGCGTAGCATCAAACTGAATCGATCACCGCGGGGAGGAGTCAACTTTTCGTAGAAATGAGTTCGGAGATTCAATCACACGCGTATATCTTTCGCCTAGAAAAAAGTATCACATCAAATACACAGCGGTTCTAGAATATTTGAACTTTGCTCTTCGAGAGCTGCTTAGAGCTTTTACGAAGCAAAAAAAAAACTTGGATAACAAAAAGCCTACGTGACACGTCTCTTTTGTGCACCGATCGATTTGACCGTTTTGTTAAATATGTAATGTAATACGGTGGCTCTAAATCGGCTTCTAAGTTGTACGCGCGCAAACGAGGCATAGTTATATCGATATGCTTGCTTTGCACAAAAGTTGACTGCCTCATCTCAAGGAACTAGGGACCTGAGTGGATATAAGTGGACATATCTCCGTTTACCAAGAATAGCTAGAACTAGATTTTTCTGAGGCCGTAGCATGGCATTTGAATAATAAACGATGAATCAATAGTTGGTTCGGTATCAATGAAATAGATTCATTGATACGTTTAAGTAAGATTGTTGTTATTGACGATGAAAACTAATTATCAGCTAAATGCCAAAAATTTCAAGTTACAAAGACATTTGGAGAGATGCATATATTGGAATGTAAATATCAGCTAAATGCCGACAGTTTTTAGATACCCGAAACATTATTTTATCGAAACATTATTAAAAAACTCAAGACCTTAAATTAATACGAAAAATACTTCTGTTATTTGAAGAGTTTTGTATATTCGTGAAATCGTAAATATTACTTTTGACAATTAGCTGATATTTGTTTTCCGCTCTTCATTTATGTAGTTTAATCGCGAGTGAATAGTCGTGAGAGAACAAGCATTGCGTGGAAAATGAACCTAGTAATGAAGCCTAGTCTTTAGTTTTTATAATTTATCGAATATGTAATTAATGTATTATATATGTTAGGTACATATCGTTCGTACATATCGAACGTAACTTACCAAAGGTGCGCATCGCTAGCTGTAATTTTTTCCACGCATCGTTGCACGTCAATCGATTGCAAACATACGACACGTTACATTCGGATCAATGTACTTTAAAGATACATGAAAGCGTAAGTGCGGTATAAACACAAAAGAGCTGCTTGCCGGAAGAACGTGAACGTATTTGCGCAATACGATATCGGCAATGTACAACGCTCGTTTCTTCTCACGAACGTACCAGAAGGCATTAGCTGATTTGTAAGTGTAACGCGTGTGCCTCTCTTACAAGAAGTGCCAAATCCGTTCTGTGCTAACTGAGCGTTAAAACGAACTTCTCTACTTCTCGCACCGACGGCGATCATCATAAACTGCGTTGTGTTACGTGAACGAGCACTAAACCAAAATATTGCGTTCATAATAATAACTTTACAGCTTCCACACTCATTTAATAAATTTTATGAACAAGTTCTGTAATGAATTTGGGATCTATTTTTGCTTAGCAAAAATGAGATATCATAGATTAATGAGACATGACACGCTTTGTTAGAACTTTTTAATTATAAAATTGATTTTTAATTTAATTTACGAAAGAATTTATTTTGAAAGTATTCTCTGGGGGCCTAAAACACTGTACATTCAATTTATTACGAAGCGTATGATCGCCCTCGCGTACGACGAATATGGAGTTTTACGTGTAAGCTGAAAACACAAAGGCCAATGAAAATATCGTAATATATATTTTACTACGACATTATGTACGCTTTATTCTTTAGATGACGTAAGTCTCTATGATTTAAAGAGACGTAATCAGTGAGTACTTTGTGATTATTTAGAGATTGCCTACTTGAAAAGTCTCTGTCGGCCATGTCAAATCGAATCGAATTTTGTAGACGATAGAAGTAGATGTCAATTGCCAAAAACATTTCTCAGTGCGTTATATTCTTTAAGCATACATATCTTTGGTTATACAATTTCCAGTTACTAAAATTTTGATTTTAAATACAAACGCAAAATTTGGTTGAACAATTTTACGAATAAAATTGTTATCTCACAAACTGTCTACAAAGTCTGCGTACACGTCTTTGAAGATGGCATGTTTTTATGATAAATAATTAAATTATTACTAACATTATATGGATTGCTCTCATTTTGCCCTTCTTTTCTTCTAAACATAAGACTTACAAAATTATTTCAATCAGATATAATACAATTGATTGCTGGATAATTATGTTTTTATTAGAAATTTATCTACTCGATTATGACAACATATATAGAATATTTTTACTTGATACCAAATTATAAAATGATTAATAATACATTATATGATAATATTTTTTATCTTTTTTTTTGCTTATTATAAATAAGACAGATTTAAAATTCAACGCAATTCAATTAGATAAATAAATTTATAAAAATGTAATTGTTATTAGAAATTATATATAATTTTCGAAATCTTTATTATTATATTCGTATAAGCAATCAAAATCTCGAGAAGACTCTGATATTTATAAAATTATATTCTATTTTTTTTCTCTCGATCATTATTCTCTCTTCATCAAAGAAAGATTTCAATATTATATTATCTTTCTACTTCTTTGATCGAGGATGAATTAATTCATTGAGGCATCTTCGCTGGAGTGCCAGATGCGAGCGTGCATACATCTCTTTTTCCTGGTTTGCTGCGACGATGCGACTCGATCGCGGGTTGAGCCATGCTCCGGAGTGCCAAATAACATCACAGTGACCGATTGCTGAGATCCGTGGCCGATATTGAGACTCCTGCGCGCCAGGTACGAATCGAGTATCTGAATGCCCTCGTAGAGGCTGTCCAGGTCGCAGCTGGAATATCGCTGACTGCCGAACCGTCCACGTTTGTCGATAATATTCTTCGGCACGTTACTCGGTGTGTTGGCCGCCGTACTGGGATTCGTGGTGCATCCGACACTGCTAGCCACCTCCGACACGATTTCGAATTCGTCCTGCAGTTTGTCATAACTGCACGCGCTGATCGTCGAGATCTTGGTGACGCAACTGTCATGGGACGGCTCTCTGGAAGAGCGGCGCAAAGTTTGGGAGGGCGAAGACGTTGCCGTCGAGTTGGCACTGTGATGAGATGGCTTCGTTGATTTGGAATCAAAAAGTTTGACAATGGCATTTTTCGAGACAGAAAAGTCTTCTTCTTGGTATTCGTCGGTTTTTCCCGTGGAAGACGATGCGATCGCCGTTCGATCTGACTGCGGCACTTCGCGATCATCGATGCTTATCGGTGTTACGGAGATTGATGAACTGTCGATCGGCAGATCTTGCGGATTAGAACTATTATTGGCGCAGCCGCACGCACCCTCGCAGGAGCAGCCGGTGCTTTTCTCGTCCGGTTCGTCAACAGCTCTTGAAAGAAATTCAATAATTGAAACAATAATTAAATACAATAATAATTAAAAAATTAATATGTATTTAATACGTGTAAAAATTCTCAAAATTACCGTTTGGCGGCTTCGTCGCAATTCTCTTCCGAAACGTGTTGGCTATTCCCTTCCAATGCTTCTGTATCTTCCTGGACCGTTTCTCGAACAGCTTGAGTATCTTTCGGGGAGCTTTCGGATATCCAATTCGTGTCTGTAGGAATGCAATCAGTCAGGTATGTATCTTCGGCGTCCGCACGCGAGAATGGACCTCCGACAGATGGATGAACGTCAGATGAGGATAAAGGATATTGCGCGCTGCGACGCAGCCAAGTGCGACGGACAGGGCAAATCTGTCTCATTGATGCCGATAAACCAGCTAAGTTCAAAGCTTTTGATATTGTTTCCGGAGGCGTGATATACGGAGGCGGTGGACTCTCGGGTATCCGCAACGTGCGTCGATCGTTTCCCGTTACTACCGGGGTCGTTTGTCTGCTGCGATTATTGCTCGCACCATCCACTACTAAGAAGGTAGAAGAATTCGCGTCCTCGTCGTGCCTTAATCATAAAATTCAACACTTGATCCTTGGAAATTGTACATAAAAATCAAAATTTTGTGATCAAGATTGCCTTCCAATTTTCTACAGCAAGAATTGTTCTACATTATTCGATAAGAAATTAAAATATGAATTAAAAAGAAAGAGAAAGAATATTTTACTGGTTTGCAAAGCTTCTGTTGCAAGATTCACGATTCATGCATTGAGCTTTCTTTTTCTGCAAAACGAGCTTTGCGACCTCTTCATAGCCTGGTGGAGCTTCGTAGCCGGGTGGATCATCCGGCATCGATATTTCATCGATCCGTGCACCGTCTGTAATATCAAAAACTGTCCACAGTGACGTGAGAGTCGTTTTGCTTTCTCCATAGTTTATGGAAACTAATTCCTACATTTATTCTCCGTACTTGAACTCACTTTTAAAAATTCTCGATTATATATTAACTTACATAAACAAACTAATACAAATGTATCAATTGCGTTTCTCTAAAAAGCACAAATAAATTTATAGCACAAGTGTATATTTGTGAATTTTTAATAAAACATTTCTGTGATTTGCTGCAACAATGCGTTGCCTCATATTTTGTTCAAGAAAAACCGAATTTTATTTCAATATTTAAAAGTAAGAAAATGCAGATTAATAAATCCATAAATTAAAAATAAGAGTTGTCGATTCTTGTTATGTTTTTTAGATCTAAACAGAAATGTATTATTTTCAGCTTTGATCATCAAAAATAATTTATTTTTCTCTTAAGTAATTTTTATTTAAATCACGTACTGTTTTCAAGACTTCCTATATGATTGAAATGAATATCTTTTGCAAAAACATTATAAACATATACCTAGAAGCTCGCTGATTGTTTCCAAACGAGATTGTAGTTCTCTTTGTTGTCTTGTTCTGGCTCCTATTCTGTACAGCAGTATAATAAAAGCAGATATCAGAACAATCAGACCGAGGCTGCTGGCAACAAACACCAGGGTGGCCGTTTTCAGATCTGGATACCGATCGATTTTCGGAAAGTAATAATTCGCTTTGTTCATGTGCCACTTGCGATTCCGCGGCTGCATCTCCCAATCTGTGCGCGACATTTTATTCTAAAATTAACTTATAAATGGTTCAAGCATAAAATATTTTATAGTTATAACTAATATATTTATTTTATTTTAGATAATAATTTAGATAACAATGTACGCTACTCCACAAAAAATAGAAAACACTTTTCAGACTTCAAAATCGAGCAATTTTCAAACATTGAAACTCGGAGAAAAATCATTGAATTTTCCTAATTACAGCGGTATTAAATTGCTCGATACATATAATTTTTGTGTACCAAAAATAATTTTCGTAATAACAGTCGAAAGTCTTTTTTATATCAAATTTTTAAATTACAATCGTTTCAAATTATGAATGCGTACCTTGGAAACACGTTGCTGGCTCGTCGCTATTGTCACCGCAGTGATCGAAGCCGTCGCAATTTAACTGACTCGGGATGCATCTATGATTCTGGCACAGAAAATCAGTGCCCGCAAAGCAATCTGCAATGTTCAATTTTATTAAAAATAAAAAAAGCATATAATATCCCAGGTAGAAATCTGGTGTAGAAGAAAGCCTGGCCTTGAATATTTTTCCCCGAGTATAGCTTGCATCTGTCCGGAAATTTAGCTTAAAAAATTTAGCTCGGACCCATGTGTAATAAGGGACAACGAGCATGGACGGATCCTTTATTTAAAAATGTACCCAGGCCCAGGCTTCTACAGTTTTTCTTAGAAATTATCCTGGAATCCTGTTTCTAGGAGCACCTAAAGATCCTGTTAGAATAACCTAAAGGTTCAAAATAAAAATACTGGTTTTTCTCTACAAATAGATATTTTTTAACCAAAACCTGGGAAAAATAGTGGAAAATTTACAGCGAAAAGCCAGGACCTGTCCAGATGTTCCAAGCTAATATTTCCCATACGGGGCCCGTATATATTCAGGAAAGATCGAGAGAAATTTCTACCTGAGATGGCAAGATTTAATTATTTTACGATCCATTATTGTCGAAACTTACCCATATAACTGAACGTCGCGTAAGCGATCGCCAAGTGCGAGCTTGGACCGAACGTACCACGAAGACTCACGTGGAATCCGCTGGTGACCGGTGCGATGTGTTCTCTGTACCTGAGTAGCTGCAAGTGATTCGCCGGATGTCGAATCACTTCTAACGCCATCAAAGCCGAGGTCGGACCCTGTTTGATGATCAGCTCCGTGTTGCCGGCTGAAAAATAACAAGTGCACAAGTGTGGCATTTACAAAAAAGCGCGACTTTCCTCATTCTTCGCAATCGGTGTTTTAAAATCACATTTTACATCTATTCCATGTCTCTTGTGTGTAATTACACTACATAAAAATAGACGATAGAATATTTAGATCAATCGGGAAAAATAGAAAGAGAAACGAAATAAACTGTGCGTCTGATTTCTGTCAGAGATACAATCACCAACTTTTCTAAATGTTATTTAGTGTGAAAATTTTATCTTGCCACGCACCCATGTCGGCGAAATCCACCACCTTCAGATATATGTGTGACTTCATGTGCAAAAAGTTCTTGGGTGGCCTGATCAACCAGACACAATCGTACGTTTTTACCCCTTGACCGACCATGTTCATCATCGTGATAGCGCCGCCCAGATTTTCCACGTATCCGCCGCAATCAGTGATCGGCTGTATAGACTTGTCATACGTATGGCCGATCACAAAAGAATAAAAGGCTTTGTAACCAAGACCGGCGCCGCCGTTCGCGTAAAATCTTATCAGCAATGAAGGACCGGAGCTCACTATAACCGGCGGCCGAAATCGCGCTCCGCTACTCACGTCTAAACGTTGTCCGTTCCAGTCGTAAAACTGTAACGATAAATATACAAATGTTAAAATGTAACGATACTTAAAATCCGTTTGAATATAATAAAATCTGCAAGTTTTGTGACCAACTTATCGTAAGAAAAGATTTTAAAATATTTATTGGCGAAATCAAAGATATTTTTCGACGAGAAATAATACTCAAACTTGGGAGAAGTTCAAAAAATTGTCAAAATAATATTAAATACCTAGAATTCTAATATCTTAATTTTTTGCTAAAACCGACTATTAGAACTATCGAAATAGAAACAGAAACGACGGATGATTTGACATTTCTTTCTCCAAGTGTGTCGATCTTGATTTATCTCTGGAAAGTTTCTTCCATCGCTAAGAATTAAAGTTAACGTAAAAAAATAATAAAAATTGCACCTCCATTATGGAAACTGTCGCTAATTGGAAGTCGCTAAACAGTAACCTGATGCGACAGGAAAGAGCCTCGTTAGGACACGTTATAATATACTCCAAGCCCAAATCACGAGGATATCGAGCCGGGAAAAACGGTGAGGTCAGAATACCACCGCCGGTACCGTTCAAACCTTTTGTTGGCGCTCCCGATGTCATTTCCGTGCCTTTCAGATGCAGTCTATTTCCTGCAAAAATGTCGATTCCAGAATACTTTGTTGATCGCGATGGCAGTCGATTTATAAAAAGATCACGCAAACTGCTGTACGATAGGCGTGTACATCGAAACACGTCGGAAAATATGCGCGTCAGAAATCCACGAGACTCCGTAAATAGAATAAAGAACAAAAATTCCGCTCCGATCTAATTAAGCCCCATCGAGTTATTCTTATTATTCTTATTATCTTAAATATTTTATTTTAAAATATTAATATTTTCTAGACCACTATTCCTGTATTAGGCCATTAATTTTGATGTTAAATTTACATATATCACAGTTTTGAAAAAAATTGATCTGACTCTTGACAACAATTTCAATAAAAATACAATATTTCCATCTCTACTCACTTTCTGCTGTATATTCGATAGTGAACGCGTACTTGTGAGACTGGCTATAGAATAGGTTTATAGAAAGCGTTCTCGTGCTCGATTTATATGTAATCGGTGCGTACGATCCGCAGAACGGCGAGCCGGAAACGTCTTCGTAGGGTGGTTCCGAGAGCCACACATAGTCGCATCTATAAAGCGGATATTCGAAGCATATGAGCTTGTGATTATTGGAAATGTGATATACCGAGCGCTGAGTATGATATACATTGAAAGCCACAATTCAGAATAAATACTAGAATAAAATATATTATATAAGTGAAATCTGTTTTAAACGATATGTTTCGTGACAACGTTTGATACACAATTCAATTTATAATTTTATGTATCTAGATTTTACATATAGCTTTTGATTTTTAAGCGGTTTTTATATCACACGATATATAGAATTATAAATTATTTTTGTCCTGAATTTCGTCTCAAGTTCCAAATCTCCTAAAGTAGATTTAATTATACAAGAAGAAATAGATTTAATTATACAAAAATCAAGCTTTGATTTTATATTTAATAAAAATCAGTTTTTCTTCAATTCTACGCATCTAAGATAAACCGAGAGAAATTTGAAAGGGATCCAAATTCTGAACAATCACTGATGCATTCACCGATGATTAGTTCTACCTGCACGGACTATCCATCACGACACCTCCATCGCCGCAATGATGAGACAGCGCGATATTTTTGAAGGTAACGACTATCATGCAGGATGGACAGGTGACTAGTTCAAGACTGCATTGATGATGGGAGCTGTTGCTATTGGTGGCGTAGAGATGCGACTGCCTCGGCGAGTCTCTGTCGAAGGTGACATTCTTCGCATAGAGAATGCCTCTCTCGCCCAGTTCCAGGTACAGACGTCTACCATTGTGAGGTCCACAAATATCCTCGTTTCGAACGATATTTCCAGTCGCTGCGAGAATCCACCAGAACATCGCGAGGATCACTGAACCCGCGCGGTTGAACGTTTCGTGAAAAAAAGCGCGCAAAATACCAACAATTGATTTCCGAAGATTTATCAAAAATTTAATAAAAAAAAATTAGTATATACAAGCGAATAGAAAATTACAGAACAATCTTCTTCTATAGAAATTATTATCAATTTAATTCTAAAGATTTTTCCTTGTTATTTGATATATAAGAAGCTAATATTATTAATTTTGCATAAATTGCAATAAACAAACAATCGGTCACACCATTTCTTACCATATTTGGAACGATACATATTCGCAGCACAGAAAGCGACGTTCTGCGCTTTCCGTTAGGAAACCCAATGCAATTGCGTATAATTTCATTAGCGCAGTGACACTTCGTTAATATTGAATAAGGCATTCTTATGGTATCCCTCGAATGCGTGGCGATCATGTCCTTGTAGTTTACGTTATGTCCAACAAAGTTCAAGACCGCATTATGTGGTAAAATCGATATGAAAAGTTGTATAATGTCATTCTTATTTTTAGAATCGATTTCGACCATCTTTAATGGGTCATGATTTTTTCTACCAAAGTTTTCTAACACACACACAATTGAATTCACGATTACAAATAATATCATACATATTAATACTAATTTTTTAAAATATCTATTAATAACTAATTTCATACATTTGTCAAATTATTTAAAATTTTGCCAATTATTTTGCCATTATTTAAAATTAATTTGTGTTACAATCTCACATTTAATTTTTAATTTAATTTATCTAATTTTAAATATTTTGTAAAATTAGAAATATCAATTTAGAAACACATTGTTTTATTACTGTTTCCTATCTTCTATATCATACAAATAAAAATTATAATATTCAGTATTTTCATGCTTTAGAATCTTCTATTATAACATTTGGATCCAGAATATTAGAATGTACATTTTTTTATTGCGACGCATTAAAATTTAATATTTTAAAAAAAGAAATGAATCAGTTTGTTAAAATATACATGAAAAGAACGCCCAGGTAGAAATTTTCCTCGATCTTCCCTGAATATATACGGGCTTCGCCCTGGTAGAAATTCACTCTGGGCTTTATTATGGCCCCGACTAGCTCGTCAGTCACCAACTACCAAAGTAAGACCCAAACTTTTTTTTTTCTGGCAGCAAAGACTGGCAGCAAAGACTGGCAAACGCTACTGATTAAACAGACTAAATATCATTCTGGGTCATACTATAGCCCTTCTAAATTTGTTTAGATAGGCTACGTCTTGGCAAACAAGTGAGGCCCATACTTCTGTCTTGGCGTTAAACTGACAATTTTTAGCAGGGCGTATGGGAAATATTAGCTTGGAAAATCCGGACGGGTCCTGGCTTTTCGTTGTAAATTTTCTACGATTTTTCCCAGGTTTTGGTTAAAAAAATATCTATCTGTACTTTTCCTAGATTTGGCCGGGTCCGATCAGGGAAAAACCAGTATTTTTATTCTGAACCTTCAGTTAACCTTTTAGTTTATTTTAATGGGGACCCTAAGAACCCCTAGGGACAGAATTCCAGAATAATTTCTAAGAAAAACTGTAGAAACAAGCCTGGGCCTGCACATTTTAGATAAAGAATCCGTCCATGCTTGCCGTCCCCCATTACACATGGGGGTCTAAGTTAAATTTTTGGGACAGATCCAAACTATACTCGGGGAAAAATTCAGGGCCAAACTTTCTTCTAGACCAGATTTCTACCTGGGCGTTCTTGCTGAGATATCTAAAAATTATGCCAGCTATAGATCTGAAAATAATTTTGTTAGACAATTAAAATTTATAACAGAGCACTTAATTTGGTTGATGGAACACAATGAGGTCATATTGCAGCAAAAAGTTCGAATATTCTGATAAATTTTGAAATTGATAAATTTTGATTGTCCAACAAAATTATTTTCAGATCTGTATTTGGTACAATTTTTAAATATTTTAGCAAAGAACGTTGCGAGTTTAGTTTAGCATTCTAGATCACTTATTTCTTTACAATATAAAATTTTAATGCATCACAGTAAAGTTCTAGGCTTGCCAAGTGATATGACATAAGATTCTAAAGCATAAAAATAAATAAAATATACATTTTTGTTTCAGAAAAACTCGTCGTATACGTGCTTTTCGAGTGCAAAATAATTACGAAAATTCGAATTTTAGACTTCTTATTATACAATATATTTTTATAATGTGTGTTTATAATACCAATAATACTACGTCGCGATGTTGTATGTCGCAATGCATCGATGCATCGAAAAACGCAAGCAATATCGAGATTAATTGAGTTGGCTAATCGTCAAAAAGATACATTTACATGTTAGACTAATTTGAATATATAAAATTCGAATTTTACCTGATACATACATATACATATACATATGTGTGTTATGATAAGAGTATATGCAGTATGCATAAACATCTGCAGCATGAAAAACCAAGAAGATCGGTCTTTGTCGCATGTCGCTACGTCAAGTTTTCGCTGAGTTATAGTGTTTTGAAAATTCGGCAGGTGCATCACGCTAATTAGATGAGGATGACACGCATCGGAATGCATGGTATGCCAAAAAAAAACACGCGCGACACGTGCGGCATGCGCAAGAATGCGGAAGTTATTAATGCCATCTAAAATTAGCCTTGGCAAGACATTGACCTATGTGAAATACGTGGCGGACGATCATCTTTTCTCATCGGTCAATTTCGACGTATGTCGGAATCAGTCGGATCATGTGATCAATGGTCGATAAGATTGTCAATCTTTTGCGAAAAAGTGCAGTGGACGAGTGTCATAAATAAGTAAGAGTTTAACACGGTTCTGATAAGGTCAGAATCATTTATTTTAGATAATTAATTTGAAAGATATCATTAATTAATTACAAAATCAAAATTAATTCTTTCGGTACTTAGCATAACAACACGAAATAGTTGTTATTAACCTGATTTGTTAGTTTTATAGGTTAAGGCGGCATGTAGATGTGCACTTTGTGGTTGCAATAAACGTTATTCGAACAGCGTGTTTATGTATAATCTAAATAAATATTTTTTGGACTATATATCAATCTTCTTCGATAGAAAGAATTATCCAGACACAGCATATCCATAAGACGTCCACAGGATATCCCGAAGACGTTTTTAGGACGACAGGACATCCTCTGGATATCCTTTGAATGAATTTTGGACATGTGTGCTGTCTGGGTAATGAGATTTTTCAATTATTATATTTTCTAAAAAATATTTTGCATTTTATGTATTTTTTTAAGAGATAGCATTTTTTATCAGCTATTTATTGTTAACATATTCAATTATTTGTAAATAATTGCTTTTAAAAATGCTTTTGATAATCAGTAAATAATACCTAAATAATACCTAATACTATATTAAGTTCTGTTATTAACTCTATATTTCATTATAGATGAAGGAACTAATTACAGAATAGCTAATTAAAAGAATTTGTGAAAAAGATGAATAAAGGATTGCATGATTTGGCTGTACTGTAGGGTGCTATTATCAACACTGGACTTGTCACAGATACAAGAAGACAATAAAGAATTTGTTATTGGAAATGCATATTGTGAGTACCTAGAATTAAAAAAATGGCTTAGAATGTTAAAGTATACATTTTATTCATTTTTATATTTTAGAATCTTATAACATGTGGTAGGTCTAGCATTTTAGAATTCACATTTTCTTTATTGCTTAATTTTGAAAACTTACATTTTAAACAAAAAGTGATCTAGAATGTTAAAATTTACATTTTATTCATTCTTTTGTTTTAGTTTTTTTGCTAATGTCTACTTTCAAATTGTCGACATATTACTAGTCTGTTTATTGCGCATCAGCTGTTATAAGCGAAGTGACGCGCTTGCGTTGCACGCTACTGCACGCTGTATAAGCAATGAGGGATCTGTCAGTAGATATTCCGGAGTTATCAAATGATTCACCTGAAATGGATCTCAGCATTCGGCCAGAGAGACAAAGATTCCCTTTTTGCATCGTTTGGACTCCATTGCCTATACTAAGTAAGTCAATCATAATTAAACGCACATCCTAACTATAACCTCATTCTATGTATCTGACATTTAGTAATGAAGTCTGTTAACTGTTATATGTTAATAATTGTAATAAAGTGTAGAAATAATCTGTAAAGTTCTCGAATGGAATTTAACTTTTAAGATACTTTCTGCCATTTATTGGACACATGGGCATTGCAACGTCAACAGGAGTCATAAGAGACTTTGCTGGTCCTTATTACGTCTCCGAAGACAACATGGCATTTGGTAAACCCACCAAATACTGGCAGCTGGATTATACTAAAGCCAAGGGTGGCGTACATGGATGGGATGCTGGAGTGGCAGAAGCTAGTGAAATTTACAAAACCAGAATGGTAATAAAAATTATAAATTCAAAGAATATAATGTTTTTATATTGAATGACATGATACTGAATCAATTTTTCCAGCACAATATATGTTGTGACAATTGCCATTCGCATGTAGCAAGAGCTTTGAATTTGATGTCGTACAACAATTCAAGCAATTGGAACATGGTAAAACTTGCATTTTTCATCTTGATTCATGGGAAATACGTAAGGTAAAAACTATATATATGAATAAATAGTACAAATATAATTGTATGTAATTTTTGTTATTGATATCACGTACTAATTATTTTGATTTCAGCTTTCTAGGTTTTCTTAAGACTTGGTTACCTTTCTGCATACTCTGCAGCATATTCTTTTGCATATACACAATTTCATACTCTTCTGCTTTGCATTAAGTCTGTATATTAAGTATAAAACGTAAGTCAATTATAAATTATACATTTAAGATCTTAACTTTGTGCTATTTAATGAAATTTCATAATTAAAAGTATCTTTATATGAAAATACAGCCTAATCAAAATAGTATCAGTTCTTGGCATTGCATCTGTATCAGTTATTAAAATTGTATATAGAACTTAACATAAGATCTATGAGATGTCATGCCAAATTCTGGCAATAAAAAAACGCAATATCTATCCATATTTATAACATATTAAAGTAATTTATTTAGATTAAAATAGTAAAAATTGTTTAATTTTTACAAAATCATGTACATATTGACTATACAAATATAATAAAATTATACGCAAGTTACATGGCTTTTGACAACATTTTGTATCATACACATCTAAAGAAAGTAATTATTTTTATTTATATTATAATTATTATTCAATTTATGCAATTAATATAAGTTTTATATTGCATAATGAACTGCAAAACATCAAACATATGCTTTAATTACATACATAAACACTATGGCAATTTTGGAGATTAAAACTCTCTATCTCCTTAAGCACAAATTACATAAATTAAAAAGTGAGCCGTAAGCGACTATCTTTTCTTTTATATTAATAAATAACTCTGATGAATTAATTTTAATTAATTTTAATAATTTAAGACAGATATTTAATATTTATGTTTTAATATTTATTTTTGATTAAAAAAATATCACGTATTTATTTGTTCTTCTTATGTAAAAGATAGAATCGCTTTAGAAGAGGTTTATATGGCAATCAAAGAATCAAACTTAATGTCTATTATGCGAGTATTGTACATGCAGTCACTTGAGAAATATTTCATATTAGATTTTGTTTATTCACCTAACTAAAGGATATATATGTGCGCGTCTAGTTTGATTCTCTAATTCATAAAGCATTCATTTACACTGTCGTTATATTAAAATCAAAGTTATATTAAATTATTCGTTATTCCTACTATCTATTTCTGTAATGACACCTGTCTCGAGAGAAAAATCATAATCATAATTTTGATTTTCTAATCTTTCAACGAAAGACAATATTTCATTAATCCGTAGGCCATCTATCTCCAAGTCGTTGTTCATATTACTTTCCAACTGTCTGCATAACTTAAACGGTACACCGCTTAGATAATGCGGAGCATCCACTTGCTGACTTAGCTTTGGCAAATTACCAGCCGACATTGCGGGATTCATTGGCGTTCCGCCGATGAATGGGTATAGTCCACTAGGATAAGGCGTACCTTGGCCACTTTCACCAACATTAGGTGGCAATGAAGTTCTTCTTTTTTCAATTACTACAAAATCATCTGCCTGACTAGTAGAAGCCTGTTCTTCTTGCTCATCCCTAGAATCGGGAGGTGAATCCTTGTGCTTCTTTTTGCCAAAGAGCCAAGACATCTTCTGCAAAATATATTGATCTAAAAATTTGTCAGAATTCTATTACATCAAGAGTTAATTTTGGGACATGCTTAAAATTTGTATTTCTGATATATTGATCTTTAAATAAAATATCTGAAGGAATGTACGAAAATAAGTAACACATTTAAAAAAAGTTAGTATTATTCTATCTATATCACACTACTTATAATAGCTGAAAATTAAAAGTCATTCTTACACAATAGCTGTATAGATACTGTCTAGGTTAACATTCAAATAAATGTAAAATGTCAATATTAGGAAATAATATATGCAATGCACTGTGACATATATCATTGTAAAGCAGCAAATATCAATAAAAATCAACTATTAATCTTGAGAGACATGATAATGCTATCTTTCAAGCTTATAAAGATTTTATGTTAGATTAATTGTTTTCTTGTTTAACGTCACAAAGATACTGCCTTATGTGAAGTTTTCCAGCTTTCAAAAGATTAAATTATCTCAAATTATTAATATTTTCTGCCGTATATATAATAAGGGAATTAAAACTCGTGATAAAATGTATATTTAAAGGGAAAAACATAAAGTTTACTCACATACAAACAATTAAAAATTAAAGAAAAGAGCTAATCACACAATCAATCAACGGTCCACGCTAAAGACTGACCATACTGCTGACGCTTTTGTTAGTTGCTTCTTCAAAAGAATAAATAAATTCGCGTTGAAACGTAATCAGATACGCGATAAACTTGGATAAACTGTTCCACTCGAGTCAGTACGACATACGAGATGATACGAGATGCGGAGTAAAGCGGTGGTAAAACAGTTTACTTATCGAAATAACAAGCTTGTCTGGTATCCCACCAGATGGCCGTTACGCTCATTATACAAACGTTCAAAATGCATTTCTCTTCTATTTACTGTTTATTATCTATTTTCCTCGAAAGATTATTTCAATGCAAAACGCGTGTAACTCAAATGTGCTAAAAATTAACTGTGATGTGATTTTCGCTACAGCGGCCGTTTGCCGCGTTCCCAGACATCGATCTCCGCACGCGGGCCGTTCAGGAATCGCAGTTCGCAATATCGGTAAGATTCTAACCATGTGCAAAAGGCACAGTGAGACACAAACAGACTCGATGGCTGCCGATTGTATTGGCGCGATACTGGATGGCAGTAAATAGACAGGACTAACTAACTAGTATAAAGCATATTAGTTTCAACTAAATATATCGGACAACTATCGACGATACGAAGTTTGCCAGTCTGAATAATAACAACGTTCCACCAGTGTTGAATGCCAGTACTGGCTAATACAACGGCCACGAGTAAATCGTAGTTATGTACATGCCAACTTCAGATACACAGTAGTGGTAGATTGAATACGAGTAACTATGAATAGTCATAGAACGCACACAAAGATTGTGTGATAAATAGGCCAATTGAAAGGGTGAAGGACACGTGGCAATAAATATTACATTCTTTTAAACGTGATCGAGTATTTATAAATAAAAGAACATTTCTAATTGGTGGCAAAGGATAAAGAACTGATGTTGTTTTTCGTAATATTGGTTTTAATTTAATGAAAATACAGTCGAATAAAAATTTGGGAACGAAAAGAAATTTGCATCAAGTTATGATTTCCGCATGACAAAAGATTAAATTCTGATGTTTTTCGTGCCATGTCTCGGCAAAAGGAGGCTCCAGCCGCGCCGTTTGTCGCGTTCCGAGACACCGTCTCCGCATGCGTACCATTCAAGCATATATATACGTAACGTGCACGTATACTGTTTTCGCGATTACGCCGGGCGCGGTAGTTCGACAAAGCGCGTCGAGGTAGCAGCGCAATCGCATTGTTTTTATGTCGTCGCCGTGTTCCATCACGTATGCACATATCGCGAGTCGAAACGCACCGCGCGAGTGAACACGTATCCGGTAAACCGCGACTTCTTTTGCGTCTTTCGTTTTTCCGTTGTTTGGTAGCAGGCGATATCCCCAGTAGCCGTTAGGACGAGTATCATCAACTCGAAGGACAACAGCACCGCGGTGTAGGTGTGGCGGGTAAGTGCGATCAGTCTTACATGTGTGTATATGTCGCGCGGTTAGGTCAACGGATACAGACACCGATCTTACGAGCTACTCCGCAAATTTCGCAAGTGTCTGCCGCTCGTAAACGACCGTTTAAATTCATATGTCGATGCGGTACTCTGATAATTGAAGCGGCGGGCGCATTAGCACGCCGTTATTAAATATTATCCCGATAGTTTGAAGAATAAGCGTTAGAGAGGTGTGACCGCGGTTTGTCGTACGTTATTTTCGAACGTCGCACTGTGTATATCAAATCGGTATGATAAAATTTAAATCTCTTGTTACAACAAATTGTGCTTCGTGTCACATTTATTGAATTGAAGTAAAATTTCGTTTGACGGAAATATATAAGGTCGCATGAAAGTGCGTTGCAATGAAAATCTATCGATATTCACCATGACGTATTATGCCTCCGCTCGCTTCTCGAGATAATTGCACGGGCATCGTAAAGCAACTGACCTTTTGCAAGTGTATAAATGTAAACAAACGCGTTGCGCTATGGAGACCATGGGGTCAACGATTATGATTTTAAAACGTTTAGCTTTGTGAAATGAAAGGAGCGTTTACGAATAAAGTAAGACTTGTATTAAGTTAATCACTTTGATTAATATAATATTTATTGAAATATCAATCAATTGAATGTAACACACACGCGCGCACACACACATTATTGTGATGAAAAATACATTATATCTTACAGAGTATAATTAACAAAATTAAATTAATATGTAGAATCAAATAAAATTAATTATTTCATAAATATAAAATACAAAATATATGTTAACTCTTTCAGGAGCAATAGTTTATATATGAATTATCCTTAGACATTTTTTTTTGCAAGAGAGAGATGTTTAAAAAGCGGAATCATATTTATTTAAAGTAAAACATTTTAAGAGCATAAAAAATAAAAGACGAAAGCGTGGCTCATATGTGAGCCACTGCCTCTGGAAGGGTTAAAAGAGATTTAACATTCATGAGAGAAAAATGTTAAATAAACATTAATAAAAGACGAGAGAAAGAGAGAAAAAGAGAGAGAAAGAGAGACAAAAGCTAATAGATATTTAAAATTTATTAAAGTGTGCTATTATTAAAGTACTATTTGGAAAAATTTAGCATTCTCAAAGAATTTTCATTGAAATTATCTTTTCGAGAATTTTGCCTTTATTTTCCAGACGGCAATCAGTTTATTAATCGAATTTAGTTCAATTTGTTTGAGTAATTTTTTAAATATAATATTTGAAACGTGAGTGACTCTGGATTATTTTTTTCTTTGGATAGAAAAACATTAAGAAATATAACAAATTTATTTTAAATTTACATCTAAATATGCTCCAGTTTTTGCTTGAAAATTAAATACTTTTTAAATCGAATTGAAGTATTTGAAACATCAGAAAATTAAAAAAAAATTTTTTTAAAGGAGTATTTATTTATATTTTGTGAAATAAAAACAGCACGATACAGGATAAAATCCATACTACTACAACACGAATTTATCATGACTATTGTTCTTGATAAGCAGTTATAAGCATAAAGCGTACATCCATTGATGTATGCAACATAAATGTTGCGTGTATATTCTGAGCAATGAAAAATGAAAAAAGTAAAAAATAATATCTCAAATATAGTTGACAATTGTTTTTTATTTAAGCAGACTTAAATTGTCTTTAACAAGGCCGTCACAGACAAAAGCTTTCAGCGTATGTGAGAGAATGTTTTGAGCAAAATTGAAATACGTTTAATAAGAGAATAAAAATCGCACAAATCTAGAGAGCTGGAGGCTAGATGCGATTTGACAATCTTCGTTTGATATCGTACGTTGCGCGAGTCTCTCGTTTTGCATCGTTGTCTGTTATCTCGTAGCGAGATAATTAATCCTCTATTCAATCCTCTTTTAATCCGCGCCGCGACTCATCGCGTGCGTGTCCCGTGGTATGGCTTTAGAAGTGCACGCTCGCAGACTCTGTTACGATAAAAAAAACGGACTGCACTTTTTGCATGTTATCACGTAGACTCCGCGAGCGAGTATTAATGCCCGACGGCTATCACGAGTGCGCGGCAGTCCGGCAATAACATTGCACCATGAACGGAACGACGAGCGGCGCGTGGACTTAACCTTTATGTCTTTTTTTATTCGCGCGTCGCGGCCGTTATATTTTTAATATCCTTATAGGTCAGAATTTATAGGGAAGCTGGAGTTATAAATATATCCCGCCTTTATTAAGTAATGAATTGCGTCGAATTAATTAATTCTGTGCATAAAATCGATGAAGCATCTTGTTGTTTCCCCCTTCCCCTTTTTTTCGAAAATCCTAATTATCATGTGTCACGTTATTTTATTATCAGCTGGAAACTGTGCGTGTAAAAATTTAATATGTATAATATCTGCGAATAGACGAATACAATTGCAATGAAATTAATTAACAAAAATAGAGTTTATCTTGTTTAGAGATAGATTCGACCTATCATTATACGTTTTAAATACGAAGTTTCGCTTTTTACATCTTTTACATCTTGCGTTTTGTGTCGTAAGTATGATTATCTCGCAAGTGATCGATGATAGAACTGAAATCGTGATGTTTTATCAGCTGTTATTACGTAAACGACACCGATGATATATATACAAAATCGTGTAAATACTCGTTGAAACCAATATAATTTCGATGCGTTCGAGAAAATTATCTTTGTGTTTATTTGTGATATGCGATAATTGGCTTAGCATACGTTTCACTGCGGCTATAGCATGGAAAATTTTACTTATCGGAGATTATTTTTGTAACACATTTAAAACACTCGGACGTTTATGATGCGTACGGATTTACACATAACACGACATTTGCACTGCCGGTTTTTTTTTTTCATTTTGTCGCAATTGTATTGTGCTATTTTAATCGGCAGCCAATATCAGTCGAATACGCAGATAATACGCCCAATACGACGCGAAATATATTGTCCGTTAATTATTTCAAATCACAGTTGTACCACCGCGCATCCGTGATGTACATCCAGCTGTCACAAGCACGAGTAGATGCAAAATAAAATCAATAATTCCGGATAATCGCAGTAATTAAATTTAGATGTCGATATAAAGCAGTCACGTTGTGAGCTTTTTATTAGTTATCGGCATAATTATATAATGCTATATATAATTATGCAATGCCACTTGACGTTGCATAAGCAATTGTATTTTTTTCTTTTTAACCTTTTTTCTCGTATTTTTTCTGTTTCTCTAATTCTATCGCGTTTATTTTCATTACGGTGGCAACACGACGTACAAAATTGTGTGAACACACGCGCGCGATCAGTGATGAAAAATTTGTTTTGCCGGTATTATTAGTTTTATCGAGCATCGACACAGTTTGGTTTATTGAAAAAAATGGATTACTGGTTGATAAAACATTATTTCCCTTTTCGTCCATAAAATCCTATCAGATTGGTTTTTCCGTTTCGTAAA